CCTCACTATTAGGTTGATTCATGAATGATATAATTTGTATTTTTTTATTTAAAATTTAGCTAGAAAATAAATTTGCATATTATGCAAGCCAATGATTATTACTACTTCTACTAGTAGAAATTAAAACAAGGTATTATTAATTAGATTGGGATGATAATATTGACCTCCTTTACAACTTGTGGGTCTCTAAAGGCACTGTCAATTATGTCTGGAGTTGGAGTAAGTTTCCAGGTAGGGATAATATGAGCCAAACCAGTCAAAATCTTGATCACCAATGGGCTTGGTCTAACATTATCAGCAATCTGCATATTTTATACAATAAAATAAAATTTCACATCAAATTTTTTTATTAAAAATATAAAGTAACAGTAAAATGAATAATCTTTTTACAATTTCACGATATTTAAAATGTTTACTTTTTAATTGAGATGAAAAAAAATATAAAAATAGTAAAAAAATGTACCTTGCACATGGGTGCAACGAGCACTGCGCCATCCCAATATTCGGGCTTTTTCCTATGAAGCCTTAAAACCATAGCCCCGCCCATGGACTCGCCCATTAGAATTCTTGATTTTTTCCTATTTTCTCTTTTTTCTGTAATCATTAAGAATCAAGGAAAAATAAAAGGTCAATATAATATAAATCTCTTTTTTTTTTCTTAGTTATTGTGTCGTCTTGTGGTTTTTTAATTTGAATTTTGCATATTTAAATTTAGAGGTTCTCTTTTCCTTTATATATGGTTTTATATCCCGTAATATTTTTGTAAAGAGGCCCATTTGGGCTAGCTAGTTGATTAATTATTTTTTCTCATTTATTTAATAAATAAACAATGATAAATATCTTAGTGACATGTGACCCACTATTTAAGGGATACTTTAAAGCCTCTCAGATCTCCCTTATCTGAACCTACAAAAATAGCAAATATCTAAACCAAAAGTAAACTCAATGACAAGGACACGTTAACTAAAGTTTTGAATTATGTATTGCAATATGTTAATTATCATCAACTTGCTTGTGATCTAAATCTAATCACATAATTGCACATTATTCAATTACTTTAAATTCATTCCTATGTAAAAAGCAAGTTGACATAGTCCTCATTAATAAACTTGTTCAAACTTGTGTTCTTTAATAAATGAGTCTGTTTGACTCAACTCGTTTAAGTCAGCTTGATTTACTCGCTTAATAAACTCAATATTGTAAATGAGTTGTTCACGAGCACAATTCATTCGTTCTCAAACACACTCGACTCATTTAATAAACATATTTGATCAGTTGTTAGAGCTTGACTCGAGATTTCAAAAATTGGAACGAAACTGTGTTCGTAAATAGCTGGGTTCGAATCTTTAGGCCATTGATTCCTTACTAGAGGTTATCCACTTCTAATATGTCCAATCAAAATATCTAATTCATATTAATACAAAACAAAACTAGTTCAAAACAAGAAAAAAAAAAAAAAAAAAAATNAAAAAAAAAAAAAAAGATTAAGAAAACCACAATCATATTATTATTACCAGAAATATTAGTGAAATGTTCGGTTAAATCATCGACAAGATGATCAAAATCGGTGATGAGTCCTTGCAGCCCAGACGACTTTCCGTGGCCTTCACAGTCGATGCCATGAACTTCGTACCCGGCCTTAACCAGCCTCGTGGCACAACCTGTTCGAAAATCAAAATCAATACCCGATTAACTTATCAATATCATTATAATCATATAAAAAAATTTAAAAAGTCATACAACTAATATTTAACGACTTTCTATGATTATTGGCACTTATATTTTCTTGAAATGTACAAAGAAAAATAGAAAATGATGGACCTCTCATTGAGATGCTGCACTCCATGCCATAGCCATGGCATAAGAAAATCAAAACTTTTGGCTCCACATTTGCAGGTGCCCATCTGCACGTGAAAAGCTTCACTCCACGAGAATTCACTATATATT